TCCTGTATTGGACCCAGAACCTCATGTTGCCTCTATTCTGCCTCATCATGCAAATGACGTGTCATTAGAGGCTATGGAGGCCACGGACATGTCAACTGCTTCTTAGTCCTCACTGAATGTTCCTGGTCAGAAGACATACCTGCCAAGTTATTTCAAGGACTTCCAGCTTTATTGGACAAAACTCAACACTCTGAATTGTATTTTTGAATTGTTCAGTGTGTTTCTGTTCAGTGTGGACATTCTTTTAACCTGTTTAGTTATATTGTAATATTTGTCTATGTTTTAGTCCAAGGTAGGAAATTTGTAGTCTTGTTTTTAGGTCATCCCACATATATAGACTTTTGCTTTGAAAAATACTTTCTACAGCTAATTCCCTCTGATTCTGTAATTATACACTCAATATTCTAATGGACTTAGGATGGAGCATGAGAGTGGAAAGAGAGGAGCTGGAGCGACTGTGAACTTACGAATGCAGCAGCTTTGTGTGTGGTGCTAAGCCTGAAGTATATCTTTAATTTTCTTTTAATAAATGAGAGTAAAGTCTTTATGTGACATTTCCTGCCTTGAAGATGTCTATTTTTTTACCATTGAACACACATATGAACACACAGCTAACACTATGAGGGAAAATAAGTAGACATGTGATGGTGAGCATGGTGACGCCTGGTGTGTTGTGTGGAAGCCGGCCAAGAGGAGAGGTGCAAATGATGAAGATAAGAGCCCCCCACCACCCACACCCCAGCTGAGACACGGTCAAGAGCAAAATGAGTTTGTTGCAAAGGCGTCTGTCCTGCAAGTGCTTCTCAGAACTCACACATCCAAAGAAATTCACACGTGAACTTTTTTTGGAAAGTTATTACTGACACACTGGAACCCATATATCTGACCACTCTAATCAGCTTATAGCTTTGCAGGGCTTTACTCTTTGAAAGTTTACAATATTTAGTATTGTTCAATAATGCTGAATGTTAAAATTAGCATTTAAAATCTGAGGCAGAGAATACTGTGATCTGTGAGGGATACTCAAGAAAGACTGACTGCTTGGCTCACAAACTGCTCTGTGGCCAGGATGCATCCTCAGCACCTTTAGATACAGGACATACTGAAAAGGTTTTTGCAGCAGGCCTCATATAAAGAGTCAGTTTGAATCACAGACATCAGCAGGTAGATTCACTCTATATAGCATCAGGAAGATCAGGCCTTATTCATCAGACTATGCAGCTCAGGTTCTAGTCCAGTCATCTTATGACTACACTGTTGTAACTCCTTACTGACTGGGATACCAGCTTGTGCTGTCAAACTGCTACAGATACTTCAAAGTGTGGCAGCATGTCTGGTATTCAGTCAGCCAAAATGTTGTAGTGGTATGACCCTCCTTGTCTCTCTGTTATTCTATATCAGAGGACTTCTGTTTGAGAAGGTGCTGCTGCCTTTTTGCCTCTTAGTTCTAACCTGTGTCTTGCTTATGAATCTTGTTAGATATAACCGGTGTCTAGTTAATGAAGTAGTCAAGGGTAAGTCCCTAAAATAGGTCACTATCCATTAATCAAAGAAAATCTAGATTCAAAGTGAGAGTCAACTATTCTGGCATGTTGTAGCAATAAGAGCTTTTGTTGTATCTTCCCCAATAACATCCAGGCTTAAGCCTGCATGTCTTTGTGATTCAAGGAGACAGAAGCCCAACAGCAGGATGTAGGAGGGTGTCTGGTACCTTGGAAAGGGATGTGAAAGTGCCAGGGTATTGTTTGAACCCACATTGGTACAGGCCACAGGCCCCCCTGGACTATAGGAAGGGGAAGAGCTCCTTGTAAATTAAATTTGGATTATGGTCTCACCTCTGCCCTGTGGCTCCATCAGCTTCCTGATACTTCTGCTTTCATGATGTAGCTTTTCATCTGTTTGTCAGTTTTTTTCTTCTACCCATATCCTCTGTCAGTAGTATATAAGGAGTTTCTCTTCATC